GTTCCCCTTCAGTCTAGGCCCGAAACGTCAGCCTTCCTGCTCCTCTGATGCTGCTTGGCCTGCTGTGTTCGTCCAGATCTACACCTTGTTATCTCAGATTCTCCAGCATCTGCAGTTCCTACTATCTCTGATCCTTTTCTAATTTTTTTTTGACAAACCTTCAGCATTTAGGTTCTGCTAGTATCTGGAGCTGCCAGTGTTTAGTCCACTTAATACATTGTTTTATTCTGTTTGCTACTGCGGATCTATGATGTAAGTTTGTCTCCCACCCTCATCTGTGCCTTAAACAGCAGAGAAATGATTAACTAGCACAAGTTGAGCCTCACTGGTTCAATAAGCATTGTATTTGCAGAGAGGTTTACATTAACTTTTTCTTCGGGATCTTGAAATGGGACTTGTCAATGGGTTTATGGATGCTGAGTGAAACCCTGATAAATCACATTTTGCAATATTGTCGTTTGGATTGTATTTGGCACAATTCACCTTTTGAGCAGCCAGGCTTCAGACAAGGAGTTCCAAGTGCCCCTTATTCTCTTCGTTCTCACCCACCCGCATGATCTATTTTGTTCTGCCCTCCTGCCCAAGAACAAGTTTAGGTATGCCAACCTGTGCGAGAAAACACAAGATGTGTAAAGTGTTTTGTGATGGCGCTCTTGAATATTCCCAACAACTATGATTTGGATTTGAAAGTTTCCACCTGATTGCTGCACTTATCAAGCTGCCTGGCTGATGTTAAACATTGGAGCCACAGTACATGCTGCTACTACACAGAGAAATGTGGGATCACATTCCACTTTTTAGTTTTGTAACTGTTAGTATATTGTTCAGTTGCTGGAACAATTGCAATCACATGGTGACAAGTAGATTTGGAAAGAGTGATGTATGTTACAAGTACCCTTTCCCTTCCTCACTCTCATTCCCAAACTTTCTGCTGCACTCCTGAAAACAATTACTTATTCTCAGGTGTGATTCCACAGCTGTTGGTAATCCTTCAGCATTTATTTCAAGTGCCTTAGCAATGAGGAGCAGACATATTAAACAAAAAAAATCTAGCATGTACAAAATTAGCAATGAGTTTTTGCCGATATCTATTTCACCCTGTTCCCCTTGTTTTTCACTAAAATTTAATTGATTGTAAACATGAGAACTCTATATGTTAGTGATTCCAGTGAAACATGGTGAAACATAAAAACTTCAATTCTCAACAGGCTCATAAAATGGCTTGGCCCTTTTTGGAACCAGTAGATCCCAATGATGCACCAGATTATTATGGCATCATCAAAGAGCCAATGGGTAAGTCATTCAGTTTTTGTACTTTAGCCTGGTACCAAGGTAATTTTATCAGTTGGTTTGTTGAAGTTGCTGCCTGTGACGTACATGGTCCAGCCTCAACTGGGGCATTGAGGACACCAGGATGCTTCACGAGTCAAGAGGGTTCACGTTCGTCAAACATTCTTAATTGAGGCTGCCTGGAAAGCTGTTTGAACAGGACCAGGAGTAGGTTACCTGACCTCAGCATTGTGCAGTGACATGAGAAAAGCATGAATGGATAATCAATGTTTCCTATAATAAACTGTCCATCCCTGTTGTGATAGAAGAGCTTGCTGCTCCATTCACTGCCTGAGATTGTGGATGAAGAATGGCTACCTTGTAGAGGTACTTGTAGGTTGCTGATCTGCAGAGCCATTTTGCATCATGGGTCAGGCCCTTCAGGGCGAGTGAAGATAAAAAAATATTTTTAAAAACACTTTGTGCAGGCATGAATGGATCAATTTCATGTCTAATTTAAGAGTATTCTTTTTATAAAAGTTTCAGTATGTGATCCTAATAAAATTTGGAAGCCATTGGAATGATCTAATGGGGGGTTTAAGTTGGGATAAAGAGGAGGAACAAATTTAATCAAAACATTCACTCAAAAGCCAGCTTGTATAATACCAAAAATGTTTTTTAAAATTTTCTGATTCACAATTTGTGTAATACTCGTGGTGGCCTTCACTTAATCCCGTTGTATCTGATCAACAGTTTGTTTTTTTTAAAGTCACTCATGCCTGTCTTCTGGTTCCATTTACTTCAAGAATTTAATTTGCAGAAGAGTAATCCAACCAACAAAGTAGACTATATGTTATAAACTTTGAAAGCTGCTTGTTTTTGTGTAGATGAAAAATCAGGGACATAAATATGGAGATGAAAGGGGCTTATTTTCTTGTCTTCCACACTTAAGTAACTGTGATCTCATGGGTGATGACTGTTTGAAGGCAGTAGCCAGGGCGTGCAATGATAATAATCTGCCTTCACAAGACATTAAACATGATGGTATGTTAAAATTTCTCATTTAGCAGAGAGGGTGTGGAAAACATTTTATGGTCCAGTCACTTAAATCACATTTCTGGGCTTTATTATGAGACTTCATTTATTATGACACCTAAATAATGTTTAAGGAGCATAAAAAAAGTTTGCTGTTCACAAAGCAAAGTGATGAGTTTTCTAAAGTGTGATTTAAGAAAATTGCTGTGTCAATGTAACTAGACCTCCTTTAAATTTTTGGTTGTGGCATAAGAGTTACTGTTTCGGTGGAGTGTTTCTCCACTCTTTGGAGCGGAGCTGCCTATTGTTAGATAACCATTCTTGGTTCACTCTAGTAACTGTTCTTCACCTGAGAGCCTGTTCAGTTTGTTGACAGATTATTCAGCTGTGGATGCTTTGAAGCCAAGCTGGCTGCTGCCCTCACCCAGTTTTTCCATTTGCACCTTGTCAGGCAGGACTTGCAGGATAGCAATTCAGAGAAATTTAAAGATCCATTAAAAATGGAGGAAACAGGACAATTACAGCCCGTGCTTGAATAGCCTGTAGCTATTCAGAGCACTTGATAGCAGATTAAACCTCTAGTGACCAAATTATAAATTATTTGAGGGAGGCAGTGGCATAGTGGTATTATTGTTGGACTGTTAATCTAGAGACCCAGATAATGTTCTGGGGACCTGGGTTCGAATCCCACCACGGCAGATGGTGGCAGATAAAAATATCTGGAATTAACAGTATAATGATGACCATGAATCCATTGTCGATTGTCGGAAAAACCCACCTGATTCACTCATGTCCTTTAGGGAAGGAAACTGCCATCCTTACCTGCTCTGGCCTACATGTGACTCCAGACCCACAGCAATATGGTTGGCTCTGAGCTGTCCTCAGGGCAATTAGGGATGGACAATAAATGCTGCCCGGCCACCAACATCCACATTCCATTAATGAATAAAGAAAAAAAATTCAGTTTTTCCTCACATGACATTGTCACATTTGCAAATCACTTTCTAAATTTGTGCCCTCTCATCTTCTATCTTTTTACAAGTGGGAACAGTTTCTCCCGAGCTTTTGTCCAAACCTCTGATGAGTTTGAAACCTTCTATGACATGATCTCTTAGCCTTCTCCCAAGGGGAACAAGTCCAACCTCTCCAATCTGTTCTCATAACTGAAATTTCTCAACCCTGGAACCATTCTTATAAACCTGTTGCACTTTTTCAAGTACATTCACATCTTTCGCCCAGGCTGTAAACAGAACTCCAACTGAGATCTTATAAGTCTCTTGTTCAGCGTGACCTCCTTGCTCTGGTACTCTTGCCCCTATTAATAAGACCGAGGATACTGCAGCTTTATTAACTAGTCACTTCATCTTCAGTGACCAGTGCGCATATACCCAGCCAAGCCCCTCTGCTCCTACATCCCTTTAAGAATTTTATGCCTTATTTTGTATTGTCTGTCCATATTCTTCCTACCAAAATGCATCACCTCATACATATTTACATACAATTTTGTCTGCCACCTCTCTGCCCGCTCCACCGACTTGACTATGTCCTTTAGGACTTTCCCTGCACACCAAGATCTAGATCATTAATCTGTATCAGGAAAAACAAGGGTCCCAATACCAGCCTCAGGGGAACTCAACTACAAACCATCTTCCAGTCCAAAAGAGATTCATTGACCATTACTCCCTGTTTTCTATTAGAGTCATAGAAATGTACAGCAAGGAAACAGATCCTTTGGTCCAACTTGTCCATTCCAACCAGATATCCTAAATAAATCTAGTCCCATGTGCCAGCATTTGGCCAATTTCCCCTCTAAACCCTTCCTATTCATATACCCATCCAGGTGCCTTTTAAATGTTGTAATTGTACCAGCCTCCACTGCTTACTCTCGCACATCATTCCATACACGCACTACCCTCTGCGTGAAAAAGTTCCCCCTTGGGTTCCTTTTAAACCTTTCCCCTCTCACCTTAAACCTGTGGCCTCTAGTTTCATACTCCCCCACTCTGGGGAAAAGACCTTGTCTATTTACCCTGTCCACGCACCTCATGATTTCATAAACCTCTCATAGGTCACCCCTCAACCTTTGACACTCCAGGGAAAATAGCCTCAGCTTATTCAACCACTCCCTACAGCTCAAATCCTCCAAACCTGGCAACATCCTTGTACATCTTTTCTGAACCTTTTCAAATTTCACAACATCCTTCCTATAGCAGGGCGACCAGAACTGCGTACCGTATTCCAAAAGTGGCCTAATCAATCTCCTGTGCAGCTGCAACATGAACTCTATACTCAATGCACTGACCAACAAAGGCAAGCATACCAAATGCCACCTTCACTATCCTATCTGCCTGGGACTCCACTTTCAAGGAACTATGAACCTGCACTCCAAGGCCTCTTTGTTCAGCAGCACTCCCCAGGACTTTACCATTCAGTATATAAGTCCTGCCCTTACTTGCCCTTCCAAAATGCAGCACCTCCATATTTATCTAAATTAAACTTCATCTGCCACTCCTCAGCCTTTTGGCCCATCTAATCAAGATCCCGTTGTACTCCGAGGTAATCTTCTTGGGTGTCCACTACTTCCAATTTTTGTGTCATCTGCAAACTTACTAACCGTACCTCCTATGTTCACATCCAAATCATTTTTATATAAATGATGAAAGCGGTGGATCCAGCAACGATCCTTGTGGCACACTGGTCACAGGCCTCCAATCAAAAAAGCAACCATCTGTCTTTTATCTTCAATCCAGTTCTGTCTCCAAATAGCTAGTTCTCCTTGTATTCCATGTGATCTAACCTTGCTAACCAATCTACCATGACGAACCTTGTCAAATGCCTTACTGAAGTCCACACAGATCACATTGACCACTCTGCCCTCATCAATCCTGTTCGTTACTACTTCAAAAAACTCAATCAAGTTCGTGAGACATGCTTTCCTACGCACAAAGCCATGTTGACTGCCCCTAATCAGTCCTTGCCTTTCCAAATACATGTAAAACCTGTCCCTCATGGTTCCTTCCAACAATTTGCCCATCGCCGATGTCAGTCTCACCAATCTGTGGTTCCCTGGCTTTTCCTTACCACCTTCTTAAATCATGGTGCCAAGTTGGCCAACCTCCAGTCTTCTGGCACCTCACCTGTGACTATTGATGATACAGATATCTCAGTGAGGAGCCCAGGAATCACTTCCCCAGCTTCCCACAGAGTTCTAGGGTACACCTGATCAGGTCCTAGGGATTTATCCACCTTTTATGCGTTTTAAGACATCCAGCAACGCCACCCATGTTGTGTAGACATTTTTCAAGATGTCATTATCTGTTTCGATGAGGCACTTTTGCTTCTGTCTGTTTTATTCCCTGAGCTCAACTTTGCTACACAGAAGGCTTGTGAGAAATCTATTATTGCCTTTTATTGCCTTTCAAAAGGCCACGTACACCACCTCAACAGCATTACACTCGTTGACCCTTTGTATTAACTGCTTTAAAAACTCAGCAACTTAGCTGAACATGACGTGCTGTTTAGAAATCCACGCTGGCTCTTCGGTTTTCCCCTTGTCAGCTTTTAAGAAATTGATTGTACAAAGATGACATCTTAAACGCACCCCAGTATTATGGATCCACTTCAGCTTTGATGCAGTGCAGAAGGCTCATATAATTTCTGTCATAATAGACACAAATTTAAACAGGTAATATTGTAAAGGAATATAAAGTAGGAACAATGGAAATTTGGGTACTGTTCCGTTGCAGAAAATGTATGAGGTGTTTTTTTTCCCAACTTGACAGCCATAAATGGAACTGTGTGACATTCACCTATTGCTTACATATTTTCCTGTAATTTTAGGCAAAGGTGGATTTGATACTTTTGCAAGGCAAGCAGGCACCAGGTACCTTTTTAGGTTCAAAAGCTACAAGTTTGTCACAGAACTGAATGTGGACAGTTTCAAGTAAACAAAATGCAGTGGACAGCCTCACCTGAGGCTGCTTTCCCATTGTCTCTTGTGGTTGGCAGATGACGTCTCAAGTGTTTAAATTAACATTTCAGTTTTCATATTAAAATTTTGAAGTTTCTTATAACTTTTGTGAGATGAGAGGATGCTTTATGACATTGTCCCAACATCAGATATTTGTTTAAATGTATTTTTTCTAATATAGATCTTTCTACCATGGAAGAAAGAATACATCATCGGTTCTACAAAAAACTGACAGACTTTGTTGGTGATATGACCAAAATCTTTGATAACTGCCGTTACTATAACCCCAGTGATTCACCGTTTTATCAATGTGCAGAGGTTCTGGAATCATTTTTTGTACAGAAACTGAAAACTTTCAAGGCAAACAGGTGAGGCTGCACTGCTGCTCTTACTTAAACGATCTTCTCTGATAACATTGATGCTAGGCATTCTTTAGTATTCCACCAAAGCGGACACCCTTCGTGTGTGAGTTTACATCGTTGGAATGGCAGGTTGTTTGATCTGGTATAGCACTGAACCCTTCTCCTGTTGAAAAATGTTCCAGCCAAAAGAGGGAATTCCAATAAATTTTATCCTGCCCAGGGTTATAGACAATTGTGACCCTACAACCACTGTGACTGAGCTCAGCTAACATAGCACAAACTGAAGTCTGGTAGTTCAGACTGTGGGACCTCATAATCTGAGTGTTCAGTAGTTTTGTTACTATATTTGACCATGACAGTTATTTCATTGACGTGCTCTGGAGTTACTATGCAAATTTAAAGGGGCATACAAGGATACATGCCCTACCGAAAGGGAAGCACATGAGCAGAGGGAGCAAGGTTGCCTTGTTAGTACGAAATGAAATTAAGTCAATAGCAAGAAGTGCTATAGAGCTGGAAGGCATAAAATCTGTGTGGGCAGAGTTGAAGAACTACAGAAGTAAAAAGAGCTGGATGGGAGTTGTTTACGGGCCTCCTAGCAGTAGTCAGGATGTGAGGAACAAATAAATCAAGATATAAAAGAGGCACATAAAGTCATGATAACAGTAATCATGGGGGACTTCAATATGCAGGTGGACTGGGAAAATCAAATTGGTAACAGATCTCAAGAAAAGGAATTCGTGGAATGCCTCTAAGATGGATTTTTGGAGCACTTGTGGTTGAGCACACTAGGGAACAGGCAGTTGTGGATTTGGTGCTGTTAGAGAGGCAGACTTGATTAGGGAGTTTAAGGTGAAGGAACGCCAGGGGGCAGTGACAATAATGTGGTAGCATTCACCTGCAGTTTGAGAGGGAGTTTGAGTACAATTAAATAAAGAGAACTATGAAGACATGAGGCAGAAGCTGGCCAGAGTTGATTGGAAGGGGACCCTGGCAGAGAAGACAGTGGAGCAGCAGTAGTTCGGGGGATTGGTATTCAGGTGGCACAGCAGAAATTCGTCCCAAGGAAGAAGAAGGCTACTAAGAGGAAGATGAGGCAACCATGGCTGACAAGGGAAATCAGAGACATCTTTTTAAAAAAAAGGCAAACATTGTGGTGAAGATTAGTGGGAAGCCAGAGGTTTGGGAAACTTTATACACCAGCAATGGATAGCTTACAAAACGTAATGGGGGAGAAGATGAAAATTAAGAGTAAACTAGCCCAGTAATTTCAGAGAAGATTGCAAGAAGGTTTTTTTCAGATATTGAAAAGGTAAGAGAGAGGCAAGAGTGTACATTGGACTGCTGGAAATGAGACTGAAGAAATAGTAATGGAGAACTAAGAAATGGCAGAGGAACTGAAAAGGTACTTTGCATCAGTCTTCACAGTGGAAGACACCAACAACATACGAGAACTTCAAGTGGTGAGTGTAATGGCCATCACCAAGGAGAAGGAGAAGGTGCTGGGGAAACTGAAAGGTCTGAAGTGGATAAATCACCTGAACCAGATGGATACAGCCCAGAGTTCTGCGAAGATTGTTGGTGAGATTGTAGAGGCATTGGTGGTGATCTTTCAGGAATCACTGGAGTCGGGGAGGATGCCAGAGACTGGAAAATGGCTAATGTAACACCTCTGTTTAAGAAGGGAGGGACAAGGTCAGAAGTCGCACAACACCAGGTTATAGTTCAACAGGGTTATCTGAAATCACAAGCTTTTGAAATGCTGCTGTTTTGTCAGGTGAAGTGAAGAAAAACACACACGCACAGAATTTATAGGCAGAGAGATCAATGGACAGAGAAATCAAAAGATCATACAAATGATGTGAGTGGCGTGTTGACAGCCTGAATAATAAGTCTCTGCAGGTGATTAGAAGCATCAGACAATGTAAGTGAAGTGTCACCTGCTGAATAGCAAGTGAAGGGCTGACCTATAATCAACACAGACATCAAGTTTCTGCAGAGAAGATCCCAAAAGGACTACAGATCACAAACCCACTCAAGTCGACCTACAAAACAGTACGTTGAGAGCCTCTGCTATCATACCTCTTGCACATCCTCAATCATCTCATATACCAGCTCTACAGCAAACAGCACAACCTTGAAATCGAGATAGGATATTCTTGCTTGCGCTTAGGATACAGGGGACCAGCTATAGGACACTGCCAAGCAGACAAAGCAACGCCACCTAGATGCACACCAAGAACAGCAAATTTGAGAAACTTGGCATCACCATGAGCAGTACCTGGTGGTGTCCCCAGTATCACGCTTGAAAATGATACCACTGTAGGGAAATCCATTGTCAACTTGTCTGAGCACACCCTTCAACCAGCCAAAATCAAAGTTCTCAGCGAGTGCTTAATTTCTGCCCCACTACCAAAATGGACCCCATTGGTCTCGTGGCAGACACAGGAATTTATCACGCCAATGAAGCTCCAGTAATTCTTCTACAAACCCCAAATGTCAACAATGAGCCCAGTGAGGCAACCAACAAACTGGAACAGTTGACAGAGATCCGCACTGCAGCGACCAAAGAAGAAAGAGTCAAATTGGACCCTCCGGAAGGCCACTGCCCTAGGCTCTATGTATGCTCAAGCTGTCAAGAGATGTGTTAATGCCAGGTTCATCAGCCGCACTCACCAGATTGTGCTTGGGTAGCATCCTGCACTATGCAATGCTTTCCAGGCTCTCAAGACCAATCGCAACATAGTCATCAAACCAACAGATAAAGGAGGAGCCGTCATACAGAATACTGACATCTCTACAACTAGGAACTCCACAGACTACTACCTGCCAATCTGACCAAAGAACACACCCGTCAACTCAACAGACTGATCAAGACCTTTGACCTAGGCCTTGAGAGTGTCCGAGGCACACTCATCCTGCTTGCTTCTCGCAGAAGAGACTTCTACTGCCTTCCAAAGATAAACAAAGACAACACACCTGGATGCCCCATCACATCAAGTAGTGGGACCCTGTGTGAGAACCTCTGGCTATGTCGAGTGCATCTTGAAACCTATTGTACAAAGAACCACTAGCTTCTGTTGCTACACTACAGACTTCTTACAGAAACTCAACACTCATGGACCAGTCGAGCCAGGAACATTCCTTGTTACAATGGGTGTTTCAGCACTCTGCACACATCACTGCAACAGCCTCTGTACTCAACACGAACAGCTGCCAATTTCCAGGCTTCATCCTCGACCACAACATCTTCACCTTCAACAACCAGTTCTTCACCCCGACACACAAACAGCCATAGGAACCATATTTACACTCCAATACGCCAACATTTTCGTGCACAATTTCAAGCAAGACTTCTTTGCTGCACAGGACCTCCAACCAATGCAATACAACAGATACATCAACATTTTTTTCCTCTGGACTCATGGCATAGAATCACTGAAATGACTACGCAACAATATCAACAAGTTTCAGCCCACCACTGGACTTACCATGGACTACTCTTTAGAATCAGTTTCATTCTTGAACACACACATCTCCAAAGATGGACACCTCAGTATCTCACCTTACCCCAAACCATGGATAACTTCACGATGCTTCTTTTCACTAGCTTCCACCCTAAACCTGTTAAAGAAGCCATCCCCTGTGACCAAGCCCTGTGTATACCCAGGATCTGCTCAAACAAGGACGAATGTGACGAACACCTAAAGGGGCTGAAAGACGCCCTCATAAGAACAGAATACTAAGCTCAACTCATCGATCGCCAGTTCCAACGTGCCACAGTGAAAAACCAGAACAACCTCCTCAGAAGACAGACACAGGACACCTTTCATTGTCCAGTACTTCCCCGGAGCAGAGAAACTCTGCCATGTTCTTTGTAGCATTCAATATGTCATCAATGACGACGAACATCTCACCAAGATCATCCCTACGCCTCCACTCCTCACCTTCAAACAACCAACAAACCTTAAACAGACCATTGTTCGCAACAAACTACCCAGCCTTCAGGACAACCTCGACCACAACACCACACCACGCTGCCATGCCAACCTCAGCAAGACCTGTCAGATCATTGACATGTATACTAGTATCACACGTGGGAACACCACCCACCACATCCAAGGCAGATACTTGTGGCTCAGCCAATGTTATCTACGTCATATGCTGCAGGCGACGATGGCCCGAGGCGTGGTATATTGGCAAGATAATGCAGAAGCTACAACAACAGATGAAAGGACACCATGCAACTGTCACCTGACAGGAATGTTCCCTCCCAGCCAGGGAACACTTCTGTGGTGAAGCACATTCAGCCTCCGATCTTCAGGTAAGCGTCCTCCAAAGCCGGCTTCGAGATACACAACAACGCAGAATCGCCGAGCAGAAACTGATAGCCAAGCTCTGTACCCATGAAGACAGCCTCAACCATGATCTTGAGTTCATGTAGCGCTACTAATAACCCCACCATATTGTTCTGTATTTGTAAAATCTTCCGTACTGTCCTGATTTGACACCATCATCTTGAGAACTTGTTATGATCTCTCTACCTTAATTAGTTTGTACAGTTTTGGGTTACTTGTTACTTTGGTTAGACCCTTGCCATACGACTGTTATACCTATTATGTTACTCCAGCCATTTGGTTTGTCTCCAGCACAAACTTATTTTAATTTTTTTCTAATTATCTCTCTGCCTCAATTAATCAGATTATAGGTCATCCCTTCACTTGCTGTTCAGCTGTTGATCTTTCTGCCCATAAATTCTGTGCCTTTCTTCACTTCACCTGACAAACTAGCAGTGCTCCAAAAGCTTGTGATTTCAGATAAACCTGTTAGACTATAACCTGGTGTGGTGTGACTTCTGACTCTGTCCACCCCAGTCCAACACTGGCACCCCCACAACATAAGAAGGGAGGGACGCAGAAAACAGGAAACTACAGGCCAATTGGCCTAACCTCAGTTGTTGGTAAGATTTTAGAGTCCATTATTAAGAATGAGATTGCTGGGAAGTGCATGGTAAAAATCGGGTGAGTCAGCACAGTGTCGTCAAAGGGAGGTCATGCCTGACAAATCTGTTAGAATTCTTTAAAGAGGTCATGAGCAAGTTAGACAAAGGCAAGTCAGTGGATGTGATCTATTTGGATTGCCAGAAGGCCTTTGACAAGGTGCCACACAAAAGACTGCTAAATAAGAGCCCATGGTATTAGGGGCGAGGTACTGGCATGGATAGAGGATTGGCTGACTGGCAGAAGGCAGAGAGTAGGAATAAAAAGATCTTTGTCAATTTGGCAGCTGATGACTCGTGGAGTTCGACAAAGGTCACTGTGGGGACCACAACTATTTGCATTATATATTAACAATCTGGACAAAAAAACTGAGGCCTTGTTGCTAAGTTTGCAGTTAACAGAAAGATAGGTGGATGGACAGGTAGTGTTGAGGAAGCAGGGGGGCTGTAGAAGACCTTGAACAGGCTAAGTCGGTGGACAAAGAAGTGGCAGATGGAATATGATATGGGTAAGTGTGAGATTATGCACTTTGGTAGACTATTTTCTAAATAGAGAAAAGCTTCAAAAATCTTAAACACAAAGGAACTTAGTCCTAGTTCTGGATTTTCTTAAAATTAACATGCAGGTTCAATTGACAGTTAGTAAGGCAAATGCAATATTAGCATTCGTTTCATGAGGGCTAGAATGCAACAGCAGAGAGGTACTGCTGAGGCTTTATAAGGCTCTGGTCAGACAGAATTTGGAATATCTTGTGCAGTTTTGAGCCCTGTATCTAAGCAAGGATATACTGGACAGGATTCAGGGATGGTTTACAGGAATGTTCATTTAAGCCATGCATTCCAGTGCCTTAGCCTTAAACTTGCATTTTTCTCCTTCACTGAGCTCATCTTGCCCATGAAACCTTCCTCTTCCTTCCTGACCCAATTCCTATAAAGCTGCTGACATTATAAATGTCCCTTTCCTCCAATACTGTCCCCTTCTTTCAAATCTGCCATTACCTTTTTCCTCAAGAAATATAGCCTAGTCTCCTCTGTTTAAAACTACTGCTGCTCTCCAACCTTCTTATTGCCCTCCAAGTTCCTGAGCATATTGCTACCTTCTAAACTTATATCCCATTCTTTCCACTCCGTGTTTGAAGATGTTCAATCAGATTTCTTCCCCATCCACTGCACTGAAATAGTCCAAGGCCGTAAATTGCATTCTCTGTCACTTTTGGCCTTAGTAATCTCCTTCCTCATCTTTCTCTACCCCTTGCTGTCTTTGAATTTGGCAACTTTGTGATCCTGTTACACTGTCCCTTCCAAGATGTCTAGGTGAATCAGACAGTCCTCACATTGGTTCTGCTATTTATCTGTTCCTGATTATAAAACAGTTAAAATCTTTGGTGATAGTTTTTTTTCCATACTCGCACTATAAATATGGAGTCCTGCAAGGATCAATCTTGACTCTCTTTTATTTCCCATATACATGCACCCTCTTGGCAACATAATCAAAAGACATGTAATCAAATTCCACAAGTATACTGACAAAGCTCTGCTCTACAACACCTTCACTGCTTTTTTTTCCACCTATCCTGATAGCTCCTTCCTTGGTTCTGTCAAATTCTATTTGATTACACTACTTTGCAGCACTTTGTAAAGTTTCCTAAATTAAAGGTGGGCGGCATGGTGGCTCAGTGGTTAGCATTGCTGCCTCACAGCATCAGGGACCCAGGTTCAATTCCACCTTTGGGTGACTTTGTGGAGTTTGCACATTCTCCCCGTGTCTGCGTGGGTTTCCTCTGAGTGCTCCAGTTTCCTCCCTCAGTCCAAAGATATGCAGGCTAGGAGGATTGGCCAGGCTAACTTGCCCGTCATGTTCAGGGATGTGTAGCTTAGGTGGGTTATCAGGGGATGGATCTGGGTGGAGTGCTCCAAGGGTCGGTGTGGACTTCTTGGGCAGAAGGGCCTATTTCCACACTGTAGGGATTCAATGTATGATTCTGTGTAAAGGTATGAAATAAACACCTGTTTTTGCAACATTTGTTATTTTCCATGTAGTTCCATCAATAAACACACAATAATGCAACTAATTATTTTTCATTCCACCTAGTGAGCATATTTTCTCCTTGCTTTGCATGTTTATGAATCTTGGGTTAGTTATTACTCAAGCAACATCGGTCATTTGAATCACTTAGAATCACAGAACCGTTTTAGACAGGGGGAAGGAGAAACTTCAACAACATTTTGTTTTCATATAATAACAAAACAGCATTGTAAAAAATGCAGATTGAATGCAGGATTCTTTTAAATATAGTATTGTCAATTTGTCTATTTCTATAGTTTGTTGGATTTTTAGCCGTTCACTGTTATTCTGGAAGTGTACAAATTCTAAAATCTGCCAATTTTTGCTCTGCAGGTCTCATTCCTAACAGATCACACTCTACTGTGTAGATTGCACTCTCTAGACTTCAAACAACAATGAACAAAATCGTACAAAGCGTGAATAACAGGAATTGCATTCAGAGTGCAGCGAGAAGTTGATGCCACCAGAGGCAGATATACTTTGTCAGGCTTTCCTGACTGACTGACCTTAACCAGCACTGTTGTTCAAGCACCAATCAGTTAACTGAATTGGATAAAGCCCCATTCTGTTTGTTAGAAACTAAAAGGGAGAGTTTAAATGAAGAGGAGAAGGAAGGAAATTTGAAAACATTTGTAAAAGAAGCCACCTTTTATCAGCCCTGTTTGACTGTCGTATCCTCCTCGCCTGAAATGGGATGGGAAGCATGAAGCATCCTGTCCGCTCTTGTTATGACAGGGGGCTGGCTTCAATTTTCCCAGCGAAATTCATCACCACAGTTCTTCAGTGAAGAAGCTGGCTGCAAGCTGTCTGTAATGAAACAAACATGTTTAAATTTGACAGCTGTATTTATTTATTACTGAGAAAAGATGAAGCTTTCTTTTTTAGAATCTGCTGCCCTTGTTTGTCAACTAATTATGTGCTTTTTTTCTTATTGATATGAAAAGACTCAACTTGCAATAAGTTGGTCTTTTTTATGTAATTGCTGTAGGTAACGGTGAGTGATAACCCTCGATCCTTTCTTTCTTTGAAAGGAGTTGTTTCACATGCACGCGCACGCACGCACCCACACGCACACATACATACAGACACACGTGAGCACAGCAGAATGGGATCCAGCAGGAAGTTTTATTTTCCTAACTAATCTGACCGAAGTGGACCTCCACATGACCACTGGCTGAGCGGTCTTCAGGATTGACTTCCAAGACTGCCACAGTGGCAATGAGGCAGCACCAGAAAACTATCAATCACTCTGCAGAAATTTGATAGACTGAAATAAACGGTGTGTACTGAAGTTATCTTGTATGTAAACATTTTGTCAGATGCTGAATTTTTTTTTGTTTTTTTGTATTAAGGTTCAGAAATATTGATGTATATGAAAACAATAAATGGAGGAAACCATTATCTCCCACTGAGAAAATCCACAAGTGTTTCTGTATGTGCTTAAAATGACACATTTGTGAGACTTCAGGTCTCTCCCAAGAATTCTAACAAAGGAAATAAAAATTTGGAAATGGTGCAAGGACACTTTAAATTTGAAATGCTGCATATTGTATGCATTTGTATTGAGTTTAAAAAAAAAGGGGAACTATGGACTAACTCTCGAGTTGTGAAATACTGCACATCTCATCACCACATCACAGTATTTCTGTACTATTTATTCATATCTACAAACTTATTTGTTTTGAGTAATGTTGCAAAAAAAATCTTTCCTACCTGTAGGCAATAGATTGCTATCTATGTTTTTAACAGATTGTGGCAACTATGAAGAGTAATTCTTTTGTACTTGATAGGACATTTCATCCTAGACAATAAAGTAATGTTTTTGACATCAACTTTGGTGTCATCTTTTTAATCACATTGAAAGCATACATAAATTTGGGACCTTTTGCCATTAATTTTTATTCATGGCAATTTGGCGAAAGAGGCTTTCAATAGCTTATCCTGGTTATGGTGTTAAAAACAGAGTTAACAAACAAAAATCGAAATATGCTCTTCGATTTAACCTTGAAGTGCTCAAGTCAGACTCATGAGAAAATAATTCCTTTTTTTTTTTCAGTCCAGCATGTTGAGAGAAGCTAGCTTGCTTTGAGCAGTCTAAACTAAAATCAGGAGAATTATTATGATACATGGTGAGCACTATATTTCGAAAGGCAGATGCTAAAGTAGACTGCATTAAAATCTTCATACTACTTAACAGCTATACACCTCACTGTTCTGAATGAGGTTCTGATTTAACGAAGGAAGAGAATTTAAATTTCTATTAAAATATTATTCCTGAATTTGCCCAACAGCCTAGTATTATACTAATCTGCAGGCAGAAGATTTAAGCATGGACATCATGTCTGAATGGAACAGGAGTGAGAGCTGGAGTGTTACAAATGGCCTCTGCAACCTTGCGGAAAACTGAAATGTTTCTTGTACAGAAAATAATTGCAAACTCTGTATGGAGATAACATCAGTTTCAGATGTGATATGCTCCAAGAAATGAACAGCAGGAATCAACTGCTGGCAAGTCTCATGCACAAATGGCCATTTGGGCAAGGAACCCACAGCACTGCCTGTATCTATGTAACTGCTCCAGCTCAAGTCAGCATCTTCATGAGGTGACAAATTAGTCCTCACAGCAAAAGACATAAAATACATAGCTACTTCCTCTCCTGTCTAGATATTTTAGAAAGTAAATGGACTCCTCTGCCTAATAAAAGTAGGCAACCGCTGTTTCTGGTTTCTATTGCTCAGCATTGCTTCGTTGATTTCAATTAAAATGAGTCAGGCCAAATGAAACCTTTTACATTGCTTCATACTGCTAAAGGAAAATCCAAGAGAGTGCTGATTTAACTTGGCTAAAACTTGAATGTAAAGTAATTTCTGCCCTGTCACTTACCTCCTTTAAAGCTTTGAAAATATTCAGCTGAACTTAAATGTTTTTAGTACCAAGCAATGAGTTTAATTTTTCTTTCAAAAAGCACTGACAAATCCAGAAGTCATTTGTTTGTACAGAATAAGTGTAGACTTTGTCTGCGTGCTAGACAAGTTTAAAAACAGGTTTCCAGTAATTCCATGTTTGTTTTTTTTATTCATTCATGGGATGAGGGTGTCACTGTCTAGATCAGCATTTGTGGCCCATTTCTAATTAGTGCAGTTAAGAGTCAACCAATTGCAGTAAGTCTGTAATCATGTCGGCCAGAACAGTTAAGAATGGTAGTTTCCTTCCCTAAAGGGCATTAGTGACCCAGATGGATTTTTCCGGCAATTAGACAAATGGTCTCTTAATTCCAGATTTTCATTGAATTCAAATTCAATGGTGTGATTTGAACCCAGGTCCCCAGATCGTTACCTGGGTCTCTGAGTTAGTTTGCAGTGCAGCAATGATACTACTATGCTATCACCTCCCCCTTTTTAAAATTAAAATTTCTGCATTTAAGGTGGTGTACACAACATGGTTAGGCAATGTGCCTGACCCTTAATTTATCCACACCTCTACTAATTCGTGTAGGTTTTTTATTTGATTATAGGATATGGGTATTGCTGTCTAGGTTAGCATTGATTGCCTCTCCTAATTACCCTGGAGAAATTGGTGGTGAACTGCCTTGTTGCACCGCTACAGTCCTCAGGTGTAGAACATTCTTATTGTTAGGTAAGGAATTCCAAGATTTTTCAACCAGGAAACGTGAAGAATGATATAATTCCAAGTCAGGACCATGAGGCGCTTGGAGAAGATCTTGTTCCTTGGGTGGTGTTCTTTTGCATTTGCTACTCTTGTCCTTCTAGGTAATAGAGGTTGCAGGTATGAAGGTGCTTCTGCAGTCTTGGTAAGGCATTCACCTGCCCTCTCAAGTTCAATTATTCAGTAAGAAGTAGAAATTCTTAACTAATTCTGAGCTTTATTGACTTGAATATATTTAATTATATTCTCCCCAGAAAATCTCACCCTTTCTGAGAGTCCCAGTTTTGTGTCTGACCATTCAATGATGAGGGAAAATAAATGGCTCTCGAGATAGGATTCACCACAAAAAAGATTATGACTGCAGTAAGACCTAGTCCGGTCCTCCAATGGAAAGACACAGCAACACAGACCTAGCAAAAGGTAATGAGCGCAGAGAATGCTGGGTGCAGTCCCAGTAACCATACTACACTAGAGATACCCAGATTAAGATAGGCTGATCTCAATATTATAATATTTGGAGATATGAAAAAAAGAGCCTAAGATTGTTAACTCTGGAGAAGAGATAGTTGAGGCAAAAGATTTTTCAAATTATGACATCTTGGTGAGTAATGAATAGGTATCAAATGCTCCTCCTCCTGAAACTCCCTAGTTCCCTTACTGGTTACTGAGTTACATCCATGTGAAATGACAATGCATTGGGTAGTGAGGATAGCAGTGGGGGTGGAGCAAAGTGTGTGGCAAAGACTGACTAAATAAAGTTTGTATCCACTTAAGTAGTTTACAAGTGGATTCTTTAATATACAATCGTACTGTTACAAACAAGACATTCAAAGATTGTAATGAATATTTTCAAGCTTCAGTTGATTAAAAAAAATTGCGCAATTTTTCATTTGAGTTCGACCACTATTCCCCATTAAATATCAAGTATCATTTTCTTTGATCTTGCTGGGTTTGAATGATGGAATCCCACAAGGTGTAATAATTTTAGGGATTGTAACTGCCGAAATGTTTTAAATCACTTCAATAGTGATGGAGGAAATGGGGGTCATAACCTTGAGCTTTTTATTCACCCAAAGGTTAGATGTGATTGTAGGGGTCATTAACTGCACATTTAAGGGAACACGATCCCACATTCTCCCCTCAGATAATTGAGAATCTAACTAAATCCTCCTGTTACTGGATGAGTGCCAGAAAGCATCAAAGATTTATAAGGAAATCAAGCTTTCAGTTAGTTGACACATTGACAAAGTAGCATGAAAGTAAACAAACTAGTGATCTGCAGCAATTAAAATCTCGAAGTAAAATCGACTGTCGATATTGAAATTAAAGTAACTTGGCATTCTTCAGCTATTGGACACACACAAGCGTCTGATTCTCCTGAGATATTTAGTCATTGTTGTACGAAATCTGCAAAATAATTACAGAATTAATGCCTAGAGGTAAAATATGTGAATTTAATTTATTCCTTCTGATCTTTTTAAGATACTCATGCAGCCAGTAATTGTCTTTTTCCCCCGATAGAATGAATATCTCCAGGTTGGGTTGCTCCACTTTTAGTTTCATAGTTTAAAGACGAGTTGCTTTTATACAGTTTCTGTACAGCAGTGTCTTCCATGTCCTGTATATATTATATATATATGTCACATCAGAGATTTATCATTTCTATGGCTAAATGTGTTTGTTTTGCTCATTGGTTTATTGGTTTTATTCAAATATTTTAATAAGCTTCAACAATACTGCTTTGTGGATATTTCCACCTCAGCCTAGAGTATTGTTACCTGATTCTTTTAGGCATTATTGCTTTACAATACATTGCCCACGTAGAAAATTAGGGTAAACTAGGAGCAGCTATGCAAATAACTTGTATTCCTACAGACTTTCCAAAGTTGCTTGTATCATTCGGAGTACAAAATAATTAACAAATTTCTAGATGGCTGGGAACAGGTAAGATTATCAACTTACGTGGTATTGAGACAGAAAAATTATTGTTTCAGTGTTTGGCAAGTATTCCGTGATCCGATCTCAGCCAAAGCAGTAGCAAAACTGCACAGTTAACGATTAAGAGATAACAAGGTGTAGAGCTGGATGAACACAGCAGGCCAAGCAGCATCAGAGGAGCAGGAATGCAGACGTTTTGGGCCTAGACCCTTCTTCAGATCCTTTTTCCTGCTCCTCTGATGCTGCTTGGCCTGCTGTGTTCATTCAGCTCTACACCTTGTTATCTCAGATTCTCCAGCATCTGCAGTTCCCACTATCTCAGTTAACAATTAATGTTGTGTCTGCATATATACAAATTGGCCCATGATTCAAAGAAAAATTGACCAGAATTCATGCTGATGATGACTATACAGGGCCTGTGCTGATCTGTTGGGTGCAATGTGAAGCCAATTGGACTCAGCAATGTCAATGCCTATTGTCCAGTAATGTTCCCTTTTTTTGACATGGTCTGTTTATTACTGTCAGGTCCCTGAGCAGTGATATGCATATTAATTTGAATGCTAGTTGTGGACAATCTGTTTGTACTGTGCAGTACCTTCTGGATTGTTATGCACAGAGAATAGAGGTCATGAGTATTTTATCAGCACTTCTGGAGATGAGTTTTACCATTACTGTACCCTGTGCAGTATTAAAAAAATGTCCAGTTTCAGCATTTAATTTAGGAATGGTGTCAAGTACATGGTGAGAGTGTTGAAGACATTTACTAAGATGGGATGTAATATGAGTTTATGATGAAAAGATAGTAGGAAAATATTAGATTTGCAAAGCATTCCAAATTACTGAGGAGTTCTGATGAGAAGAATTGTCAACAACTTTTTCTACTGGTCAATGATTTAATATATTTCGGATAATGAGTTTTGGGGAAAAGTTTGAAAAATAAAATTTTAAAATAGGACTGAAAGAGCTCTTTGGGACATCAGTTTTTTTTTTACATATGTAATGTTTACCATATCTCCATTATGAGTTTTAAAGAGTTTGTAACTCTTTACTGGAGCAATCAAGTATCTACCCAACTGTTGTATGACAACTTGCCCCAAAACAACCATTTCCTACGAATACACCTACAGCCATGTTTCTTCCAGCTGTGGCACTTTGGTCACTACAGCAATATTCCAAGCACAGAATGATGAACTAAGTGTGGGAAAAAGCCTTTGTGGTTGCTCATGTCTGTTTACGTCAGATGCTCTCTATGCCAGTGATTTGTATATCGAACAATTACTGCTGAGATAAAGAACTCTGCAGGTGTGGAATATTCCAACTCAGCAGGGTAGCAGATGGAGAGTTGGAGTCTGACCCATTGACCCATCCTTCCCCATGGAACAGTCACACAAATGACTGATCCTAGAACAGCAGAAGCTGTGAAGTTGACAATCCCCACTTGTCAACAGAAATATAATGACAAGGGATTAAAATGGGAAGAAAACAGGAGTGAGCGGGAGGATGAAATATAGCACATGAAATCTTTCTTGGAGTTGTATCAAAATGAAGCTAAATCTCAAAAAAAAACATTTCATTTGAGATCAACTAATATTTTCTATTAAAAATAATAACTCTTCCTTGAATGCTTTTTATTGTATACTTCCTAAAAAAAGCACACGGTTGCTTGCGTATCTGAATAATGGTTGTTCGACTGTCAATCTGCATTCCTCATGTGTCCAATCCATATGGAGAAAATTTGCTCTACGATCTCCAGGGACTCTGGGGAAATAGATACAATCTCGACCTCGTGGAAGACCCTGAAACATCAACCTTTAGATAAACAATTCAGTGTAAAAGGCAGTCGTGTTGCACCCATTCCAGATGCTTTGATCTCCTGGAAACAGCAGTTTCCCAGAGGAAGAGGAATGGTTGTTACTTTCTCACAGTCTCCACTTTTCATGTCGTCTTCCTTTCACTGGGAGAAGTGTTTTTATTTTCTTTAAGCACAACTATCAGAAGGGCAGCAACATACTGGAATGCCGAGTGAAGTTAGATTTGTACATTGCAATGTGTGCATTGAACGAAGTACGCTGTCTTCAACTGCACTAATTGGATTTGCTAAACTGACAGCAAACCAATCCAGGATGTGTCCTGAAAAACCTTAATGCAACCACTTTAAAATGCAGTGGTACTTCACTAGAATACAGTTTGTTCAAGAACTGTTCCCCTCCTGAAGGCATTGAACCTTTCTGGATGTAATTTCATTGTCATCAACAATCCCTTCTAATGGTACTGTGCGCCACTTAGCCATTCAGTTGTGATGAGGTGAAGGGGACCATCAAAGGAGCCCAATCATCAATATCTGTTTAGAGTATGTTCTATTTCTGGCACATGGCACTGGATAGCAATAAGGAGGAGAAAACCTAGTTGATACTCTCTCCCATCTCTAGCCTGGGCTGCTAAGGCCAATTATAGCACCCCAACTGATGAGCTTAAGTAGTAGACTAAAAATCTAAAACATGTTGAGGGGTGACCTTATAGAGGTTTACAAAATCATGAGGACCATGGATAGGATGAATAGCCAAGGTCTTTTTCCTATAGTGGGGAGTCCAAAACTAGAGGCCATAGGTTTAAGGTGGGAGGGGAAAGATTTAAAAAAGACCTGAGAGAGTAACCTTTTCGCGCAGAGGGTGGTCCATGTATGGAATGAGCTGCCAGAGAAGGTGGTGGAGTTTGGTACAATTATAACATTTAAATGGCATCTGGATGAGTATATGAATAGGAAGGGTTTGGAGGGGTATGGGCCAAATGCTGGCAAATATTGGGATGTCTGTACAGCACAGACGAGTTGGACGAAAGGGTCTGTTTCCATGCTGTATGATTCTATGACTCTGTACTTAAAATGTTAGAATATATATAATGAACTACATTCATTAATAATAGCAAAAAAACAATGCTACACTACTTGTCTTATTGTTACAGATAATGTAAAGCGCACACTGGCCCATTTCAATTCTGCTGAGATCTGAAAAATGTGCCTCCACATTTCCCATCACGCGCTAACTGGACTCTCTGGTCCCTCTTTCTGTTATATCGTCTCACATAGCTGCTGCTCTTAACCAGTCCATCTCCTGGCTTTAGTCTCCCAGAAACACGTTCTTGGGCCCAAGTGGGTAGAATGTATCTCCTGTGATAAATCAGGCCCATCAAGATGTATTTACCACCTAAGAAGCAATATGCAGAAAAATCATTAGTGAAGTGATGTGATCCGTTCCCATATTATTCCATTTATTTTAACCTCAGTTTTCTTATTGGCGATCAGCCATGATCTAATTGAATTGTGAAACAGGCTCAGGGGATAGAGTAGCTCACTACTGTCCCTACGCTTTCCCACTTGAATGCATTATTTAATGTGGTTCCACAAGTGCTCCCAGTAGATTTCTCAAATTACTATTCTTCAAGTCCATTACTGGTAGGCCTGAAATAATGCCTAACCCTAACCCTAAATAATGCCCACTTTCTAACAAGGTATACTTAATGTCATTTTATTTGTGATGGATAAGGAATTGTTTCGGGATAATGGAGAGTAAATGCATATTCGTTAATGTTGTACATTTTAAAATATTAGATGTTTTTGATGCTGGAGAATTAAATGCTTTGCATTTTGAGAACCTCACAGATGTTAAAGGTTACCAGGTCTGTTAGATCACACCTTTAAACAGAATAAAGCATGTTTCCTCTCCTCCAAAAACATATTCCAGTTCCATCCTCAGAGTTGTACCAGTCTTGCATTTTTCCAATATCACATTAGGGATATGTATTGGATTGTGGACTTATGGGCAATAAACTTAGTGGCAAAAGTCACTTCATGTTGCATTTTCATTGCTGGCATGAAATTGTTCTAGTCTTACTGGACCACAGGGCTGCCCCCTCAATAGAGGGAGACGACTGGTGGTGGTTTAAACTGAGGATCACTACCTCTTAGGCAACATTAAAAAGGGGAGTCCTTCAGTTGTGCAGAAATTGAATCCATAGTGCTGTCGTCACTCTACATTGCAAACTAGCCATTCAGCCAACTAACCCCAACAAGATGGTGTTGAGCCTAGATCTTGGTGAATGAACCTAGTGATCTAACTCACTGCATCAGCTAAATTTCCTACATGTTCACAACCTGTTATAAGGGGTTGGTCGTATGATCAGGAATACTGGACTCACCAAACTTCAAGTCAGGACATAATCTTCTACAGTTGAAAGTGTCAACAACAAGAATTTGCACTTTGAAGAAGAATCCATCAGGCGTGACATATAATCGACTCATGCGATAGAATCCATTGCTGTCTACCAATAATGTCACCAGCCGCAGCCCTTTACCAAGGGTCACTATATCGTGGACTATACCACTGATTGCTGTTGAAAGATTGAATACTGTCACTGCATTAAAGAATTGAGCTGAAGTACCAAGCCATGGGATTTTGAGTTCTCATGTTCAGTTTATAAGGAATAATAGCAGTTTTTAAAAAAATACAAATTTAGCAGCAATATTTAAAACCTGTCTTAAAATAGGAAAGAGTTCCATCTGAACAAGGAATCAGTCAGCATCTGAAAAATACAGGTTAGTGTTTTGGTTGTCTATGAAACAGTAGGCTTTTTTTCTGTCTCAAATACCGACTAACCTATATATTTTCAGCATTTGCTATTGTTATTACGTAGGAATCTGTATATAAGGCTCACAAAATGTAAATTAATACATGAAATTAAGAAGGTTCATAAGTAATGTACATGTTCTAATCTTTATCTTAAGCCAAGCATCTTCGTACACAGTATCATGGATATGTAGGCTGCAGGATGGAGACACAAATTCTCCAAGACAATGCCATGTCTTTTTGGTGTCAGGGTGGGAGGGTGCAGACTGAGAACTAAAGAGTAGGAAAATAAGACCTGACACCTGCATGACATCTCATTGTAGCTGCACATTTCAAATTGTGGGTCCACAAAAGTAAAAATCTTTGTCATTTCGTTGAGCTTCTAAAAATCTAAGCTATATTATTGTTTTGATCCCCTTGCACACCACTTCAAACAACCTATTAAATTCTCCCTGCCTTAGCTCAGATCTCACATCCCCCAAGTTTTCTCTTTAAAGTTCTTTCCAAGGTTCCTCAACCACTTTCTTCGCCAAAATGTCATAAGACCAAAGGATCAGAAAATAGGTCATTCAGACCATCACATCTGCTGTGCCATTCTATCGTGGCTGATGAGTTTCTCAATCCCATTCTCCCGCTTTCTCCCCATAACCCTTGATTCTCTTGACAATTGAGAACCTGTATATCTCTGTCTTAAATATATTCAATGACCTGGCCTCCACAGCCCTCTGTGACAATGAATTCCAGAGATTCACCACTCTCTGGCTAAAGAGGTTTCCCCTTATCTCTGATCTAAAATGTTTTCCCTTTATTCTAAGGCTGTGCCCTTGGGTCCTAGTCTCTCCTACCAATGGAAATATCTTCCCAACGTCCACTCTATCCAGGCCATTCAGTATTCTGTAAGTTTCAATTTGATCCCCCCTCATCTAAACTCCATGGAGTATGGACCCTTGGTCTTCAAATGTTCCTCATATGTTAAGCCTTTCATTCCTGGGATCATTCTTGTGAACCTCCTCTGGACACGTTTCGGTGCCATTATATCCTTGCTGAGGTATGGGACCCAAAATTGCTCACAACACTCTAAATGTGGTCTCACCAGAGCTTTATGAAGCCTCAGAAGTACATCCCTGCTTTTACATTCTAGTCCTCTTGAAATAAATGCCAACATTGTATTTGCCTTTCTAACTACCGACTCAACTTGCAAGTTTACCTTAAGAAAATCCTGGACTAGAACTCCCAAGGCCCTTTGCACTTCAGATTTCTGAATTTTCTCCCCATTTAGAAAATAGTTTACACCTCTATTCTTCCTACCAAAGTGTATGACCTCACACTTCCCCATGTTGTATTCCATCTGCCACTTCTTTGCCCACTCTCCTATCCCGTCTAAATCCGTCTGCAGCCTCCTGCCTCCTCATACTACCTGTCCCTCCACCTATCTGTGTATCATCAGCAAACTTAGCCAGAATGCCCTCAGTTCCTTAATCTAGATCATTAATGTATAAAGTGAAACATCTGGTCCCAACACTGACCCTTGTGGAGCACCACTAGTCACTGGCTGCCATCCTGAGAAGGACCCTTTTATCCCCACTCTCTGCTTTTTGCCAGAGAGCCAGTCTTCTATCCATGCTAGTACCTTGCCTCTAACACCATGGGTCCTTATCTTACTCAGCAGCCTCCTGTGTGGCACCTGGTCAAAGGCCTTCTTGAAGTCCAGGTGGATAACATCCATTGGCTCTCCTTTGTCTAAACCGCTCATTACCTCCTTAAAGAATTCTAACAGATTTATCAGGCATGACCTCCCCTTGATGAAGCCATGCTGACTTTGCCCTATTTTACCATGCACTTCCAAGTATTCAGAAATCTCATCCTTCACAATGGACTCCAAAATCTTACCCAAAACCAAGGTTAGGCTAATCGGCCTGTAATTTTCAGCCTTTTGCCTTCTTAACATTAGCGATTTTCCAGTCCTCTGGGACCCTCCCTGACTCCAGTGATTCCTGAAAGATCACCACTAAAGCCTCCACTATCTCTTCAGCTATCTCTTTCAGAACTCTGGGGTGTAGTACATCTGGTCCAGGTGATTTATCCACCTTCAGAACTTTTAGTTTTTCTAGCACCTTCTCCTTGATGATGGCCACCATTCTCACTTCTGCCCCCCGACTCTCTTGAATTTTTGGGATATTACTCATGTCTTCCAATGTGAAGACTGATGCAAAGTACTTATTCAGTTCCTCAGCCATTTCTTTATTCACCTTCACTACTTCTCCAGAATCATTTTCCAGTGACCCAATGCTACTTTTACCTCTCTTTTGCCCTTTATATATCTAAAGAAACTCCTGCAATCTTCTGTTATATCACTGGCTAGCTTACTCTCATATTTAATCTTCTCCCATCCTTATTTCTTTCTTCATTGCCCTCTGTTGGTCTTTGTAGGCTTCCTAATCCTCCAGCTTCCCCCTGCCCTTCGCCGCATTATATGATTTCTGTTTGGATTTTATGCTGTCCCTGACTTCAGTTCTCAGCAATGGTTGCCTCATCTTCCCTTTAGTATGTTCCTTTTACCCAGGGATGAATTTTTGCTGTGTCTCCCGAATTACTCCCAGGAACTCCAGCCATTACTGTTCCACTGTCTTTCCTGCTAGGTTCCTCTCCCAGTCAATTCTGGTCAGCTCCTCCCTCATACTTCTGTAGTTGTCTTTATTCAGCTGTAATACCGTTACATCTGATTTCACCTTCTCTCAAATTGCAGAGTAAATTCCATCATATTATGGTCACTGCCATCCAACCTCTGCTCTAAATTGCCTCTGACATGAACCTGTTCAATTCCTCTGAGGAATGTTTTCAACATATTCATTATCCTCTTTGGGAAGTAGTTAACTTTAAGCTGTCCATTCATCTTTTGTTGTTTCATGTTAAGCTGATACATCTGATACATTCAGTTATGAATTTATGATCGTAGAATCAATGAATGATGTCAAATAATTTACTCGTGTTCATCTTATCTGCAAGTATCAGTTTAGATCAGTTGAACTCTTCTCTAATATTGTTGTGTGTATACCTATACCAAATGATCTACAGTGGTTCAAGAATGCAGCTCACTGCCACTTTCTCATAGACAACTAGGGACAGCACAGTACAAGCTGGCTCACTTTTACCTCTGGAAATTGAGAAAGGCAATATTTTGAGAAAGGCCATTTCACTGCCATGGTAATTCAGAATGTGAAATATAACCAAACAAAAGTGCTTTAATAAGAGGCAGTGTCATCATTAATGAGGTAATATTTCATGCACATCGAGATGTCAAAGCACATCATTGGTAATAAGCTTGTGAATGACAAGAACCTTATTTGCAAATGACCTGACATGCTGAAAAAGATACATTTTGTCAAAGCTTTTTGATGTGCACTCATGATCTGTCTGTGCAGTAGTTGGTAAGTGGACTCTGACTGGTAGATATATTTAAATAGTGACTATTTAACTAGTTAGTTTGTGGTTCATAAATTGCTAATCACCATGTAACAAAGGAACAGAATATTATTTAAATGAAGAAAAATGGCAGAAAGCTGCAAAACAAAGAGACTTGGGGATACTTTTGCATGAAACACAAAAAGCTAACATACAGGTTCAGCAGGTAGTCAGGAAGGCTAATGGAATGTTGGTCCTTATTTCAACGGGGTTAGAGTATAAGAGTAGAAAAGTCTTACTGCAACTGTACAAGGTACTGGTGAGACCATATCTGGAATACTTGTCAGTAGTTTTGGTCTCTTCATTTAAGAAAAGATATTCTTTAACTGGAGGGAGTTCATAGAAGGTACACTAGGATAATCCCCAGTATGGAGGCATTGTCTTATGAGCAAAGGCTAAACAAGTTGAAGCTCTACTCACTGGAGTGTGGAAGAATGAAAGGTGATCTCATTGAAACACATAGGATTCTTATGGACAGGGTAAATGTAGACAGGATGTTTCCCCTTATGGTGGTGGGGGGGGGCAGGGGGAGGGTCTAGGACGAGAGGGCATAATATTAGAATTAAGGGGTGCAATTTTAAGACTTGGATAAGGAAGAATTTCTTCTCTGAGAGGGTTGTTAGTCTTTGGATTTCCTTGCCACAGAGAGCTATGAGACAGCATTCCCATGTTTATATTTACGGTTGGGATAAATAGATTTTTGATCAGTAGGGGAATCAAGGGTTACAGGGAAAGGGCAGGAAAGTGGATATAAGCAATTTTGTTGAATCAACTGTGACCCTATTGAATGGCAAAGCCGGCTCAAGGGGCCAAACAGTCTATTTCTGTTTCTATTTCTAATGGTCTTATGTTCTTACATTGCTTAAACCTGAAACCTCATTCATTACTCAGTACACATTATCACTGTTGCCTCAGAACTCAAGGACGATGAGGCATTCATTTAAGATTAATTGACACAGCATTACTCGTCTTATTAGTTTAACCTAATGTTGAAGATCTGTATATAAATGAAAGCATAGAATAAACAGGATTAAGTAAACAGAAATGACAATAGCACAGTATTTCTCATCTCAATGTGATAAGTTGTTAACTAGATCCTTCTCCATCATTTAAAGTAGAAAACAAGTGACTGGAGTAGGATGATGTGAAGACCATTGCCAAAATGTGGTAATGATTATACTTACATGTTATTCTTATATTACATTATTTTATGATCAGTGATTCATTTTGACATCAAAGTTTGCAAGTTAGTTAGTAATAACATTAATTAAGTTTAATTTCATAGGAACATGTCTCTTCATACTATTTTAGAGTGTTTAATATAAATGGATCTATTCTTTCAATAATTACTAATAGAGGGATATCAAATAAATACAAATGATGTTCTTCTGATAGCAATTTTCTTTGTTCCAAACATTCAATGGTACACAGAAAGAAACAAGTTTAATAAATTGAGAAAAAGTACATAATTTTCCAAAAGCATTATCCCACAAAAGATGTTTTCAGTCCAGGTTATTGGTGTATATTGTCCCAAATGAACATGTATGTGTAGCAATAATAATTTAACTCAATGTGAGACTCCTCCAAAATCCTGGAAAATGTGCTAAAAAGAAGCAAAATAAATTGTACATTCCCACCCACCCCTTTCACAACTGCCACCACTAAAACAAACCTAATACCCATAGTATACTCACTCCAAGAATCACCAGTTGGGATCCCTGACTGCAGATTCTATCCTATGACATAACTTTTCATATATGGAAAGTCAACAGAAATGACTTTGAAACCTCAATCTATTCTTACCAAATTCACTGTTGCAGTAGAATTCTCTTTCATTCTTTTCCTTTCTGCATTCAATTGAACATAACTCTTTATTGTAATCTTTGAAAGAAGCAAAGAAAAACTAGATTAATTAATGAAGTAATTCAGGGTTCACATCTGACAAAATACTGCCTACCTATATATAGCATCTTTCATGTATTCAACATGTTACTAAATGCTTTATAATGATAGAGTCATAGGTTTATACAGTATTTAAACAGGTTCCTCAGTCCAATTCATCCATGTTGACCTGATGTCCCAATCTGACCTAGTCCTATTTGCCAGTATTTGGTCCATATCCCATTAAACCCTTCCTCTTCATGTACCCATCCAGATTCCTTTTAAATGTCATAATTATACTTGCCTCTAACATTTCCTCTGGCAGCTTGACCCACACACGCACCACCCTTTGCATGAAAAGGTTACCCCTCAGGTCCCTTTTAAGTCTTTCCCCTCTCATCTTAAACCTATGCCTTTTGGATTCTGCTACTCTTGGAAAAGGACCTTGGTTATTCACCCTATTGATGACTCTCATGATTTTATAAACCTCATAAGGTCACCGCTCAGCCTCCGACGCTCCAGGGAAAAATCCTCCAACCTATTCAGCATCTCCTTATAACTCAAACCTCTAGTCCCAAAAACATCCTTGTAAATCAAGTTTAACAACATCCTTTGAGAAGGCTGACCAGAAATGTATGCAGTATTCCAAAAGTGGCCTCACCAATGTCCTGTACAGCTACTGTATGACATCCCAACTCCTATACTCAGTATTCAGAACAATGAAAGCAAGTGTGCCAAATGCCTTCTTCACCACCTTGTCTACCTGCAATTCACTTTTAAGGAACTATGCACCTGCACCTCAAGGTCTCTTTGTTCAATTAATTGCTTTTACAGTTGCAATTATTTCTAAAGTAAACAGAGGAGCTGATTTACGCACAAGACAGTCTCACAAATGGCCAAGATAAATCCCCAATTTTGATGAAGAATTAATGATGACCAAGCATTGGGAAAATTCCCTGCAAATAACTGAATGTGCAGCAGTGATAGCAATGGCTCGATTTTAACTGCCATGTTTAAATGTGGTCTGGAAAATAGTGCCTGTCTCAAGGCAGCAACAGACAGGCTCATTCAATTTTAATAACCAGGCCTTTTTCCCACCACAATAGTATCCGTACCCAGCTACTCAGGAAGCAGCTGCCTGATGATAAATATCAGCAGGAGGCAATGGTTTCCAACTCTAGTTAAATTCTGGGAGGGAAATTTTGGTCAGGTCAGCGAAGTGTGGTCAGATAGGGTGGATGAGAAATGGGGGTGGGGGTGGAAGAATTCCAAGCATTCGAAAATGGTTTTGTTGTGGGGATGTAAGAAACATCTCGTGTCATAAACAACCCAGAAAGAATGCCATATTTTAAAAAATCATACTTTCTTTTGCTCTAGCTCCTTTTTACAGCAGGATTGACATATTGGGGATGACCTGCATCTTTAATAAAGTCTTGTTAAAATAGTAAATTGGCTCTGAACCCCTCTATCTGGATATTTGGAGAACACTGGTGGCTTGCAGACACTTGTTGCTTGCAATGTAAAATTGTTCTTGACAAATTTGGGAGAATCCCCTCTATTCCATCCTTTCCAAGGGAATAGTTTTAAGGAGCAGCAATGACAAACATTTCATCACAACACAAAAGAAATGCTATATCTACACTTCAAAATTTGCATATTGTTTAAACATAAGCCAAACATTGTCCAAGGACCCCGTAAATGTTAGTATTCCAAAACAGCCATATATCACTTTAACTACAGGGTTAACGTTTCGAGTCTGATGTCTCTTCATCAGAGTCACTGGACTCAAAACATTAACTTTGCTTTCTCTCCACTGATACTGCCAGACCTGCTGAGTTTTGCTAACGATTTCTGTTGCAGTTTCAGATCTCCAGCATCCAAAGTTCTTTGTTTTATTCTGTGCCACTTTAACGTCTTATTTTTCCCTTTCGATTTATTGATAAATATGTGTCAAAGACATCACCCGAGCAAGTAGTCAATCTGTGTGTAGGGAATGTGTGTAATTCTCCACAGGGATTGGATAGCAAAGAGTGTGTGTCAGATATTTTACATACCACGATTAGCAGCTCAAAACTGGGATTGGCAGAAACTGGAATTAAGTAATGTTTTATTTAAAATCTTTTTGACACTTCTGCTCCAAGATGCATCTATTCTAGCATCCTTAAGCTGGGTGTAAGGGGTTCATTAAAGCTTTGAACATTTATATGGGGTAGTTTCTGCAATTGGGCACTTCCAGGGTGATCTTGGGCTACATTCAAATAATTTCTCAAGAAATTCATTCTACAGGAAGTGACCTCTTGCTGAAATCCTCGCCCACTTTCTCTCTCAGAGCTCAAATTTCTCCAATGAATAGTGAACACTGAAATTTGGCAGGCTCTGATTGATCCCCAATTTGGGGTGATGGAATTCTCTCCTTGGATGGATGACTGCAGCTCTAACAACACTCATGAAGTTTGACACCGTCCAGGACAAAGCAGCCTTCTTGATTGGTACCATATCCACAGATAGTCACTCCCCCCATCACCAATGTTCGGTAGCAGCAATGTGTACTGCAGAAATTCTCAAGGCTTTTTAAACAGTACCTTCCAAACCCATGACACTCCTATCTAGAAGGGCAAGGACAGTCGATACATGGCAAACTACCACTTGCAGTTCCCATCTAAATTGCATTCCATCTTGATTTGGAAATATATTGTTGTTCCTTCTGTATTGCTGGGTAAAAATCCTGTAACACCCTCTCTGATGACTTGGGCATCTACCTACAGCAAATGGACTACAGTGGTTTAAAAAGGCATCTCACCACCACTTGCCCAAGGGAAACTAGGAATGGGCAATAAATGCTGGCCCAGTCAGCAATGCCCACCCCTTAAATGACAGAGTCGCATAAGGAGATATTAGGGCAGATGGCAAAAATTTAGGCCAAAGAGGTAAGTTCTAAGGAGAGGGGAGAAGTGAAAAATTTAGGAAAGGAAAATCCAGAATGGTAATAAATGTCTTAGCAATGTCAGTGTCATGTAACAACATAATAATTACCTTCTCTGAGTATGTTAAAGTGATAGAGCAAACTTGAAGGACGTTGATTGATTGCAGATGATGAATTGATTCCATTTATGAATGTTTCACTTGTTCTGTATCGAATAGTCTTTCTGGATCTGTTCTCCTCAAGGTCTAGATTGTACGATGTAGCTCTTTCTCCCTGTTTTGTTACATGATGATGGAGCTGTGTGCCCTGATGATAATTGTGGGCCGGACGCATTGAAAAACCTGACTGCATGCTTTTGGCCAGAAGGTCGTAGTAAATCGGTGACCTATTCAGGTTGGACTTATCTGGATACAATGAAGACACGAGGCCTTGCAAGTTGTTTGGTTGCCATCTTTCCTGTCTCTCAGGATGTTCTTTTGCAGTTGCTTTGTAATTCTGCCTCTCTGTGCTTTCATTCCTTTTGTTGATTTTTTCAAAGAAAACCATGGGACTAAGTTTGCCCTCTGTATGTGAGATTTCATTTTTGATCTTGTATTGTTGATAAGAAGTCTCTTTTTTCTCAAAAAAGGCATCAAGAACAGGTAAACTGGTCTCCAGGCAACTACGGTTTTTGTGTGGCAATTTTGTCAGATTTACTGAAGGGTCAAGAAGCCCTGAGGAGGAAGATCTGTGGTTATTCCAAATTGTGGTATGAGCTCTATATACAGAAGACAGGGTAAAATATACCAGAACTTCAGAGCTTTTTCCACTAGTCACAGGTTCAGAGAACTTTGAAGTACTTATATAAATAATTGCTTGGTTTTACGGAACTTGAATATTGTTGAAAAAAGACACAATTTGTCAAAGTTTTTCATCTTGTAGTCATCCTGAAAGGTTTCAGCAAAATGCATCTTTTTTCAGCAATACAAATAGGGAAGTCATAGAGTCACAGAAGTCTACAGCACAAAAAAAACACTCAGCCCATCGAGTCTGCAAAGGTCACTAAGTTTCACTAAAACTATGTAAAGTACTAGTCACCCACAGCTGGTGTACTGTGAACAGTTTTGGTCCCCATATGCAAGGACTGGTATTAGAGGCAGTCCAGGGAAAGTTCACAAAGCTGATCCTGATTATGAAGGCACGGTTTTATGAGGAGAGTTTGAGTAGGTTAGGCCTATACTCATTCGAGTTTGGAAGAATGAGAAACAATTTTATTGAAACATACAAGATTCTTAGGGGACTTAACAGGGTAGATGCAGAAGGGTTGTTTACCCTTGTGGGAGTGTCTAGTACCAGTAGGCATAATCTCAGAATAAGAGATCATACATTTAAGACGGATGAGTTAGAATTTCTTCTGTCAGAGGATCATAAATCTGTGGAATCTGTGGAATTTTTTACTACAGAGGGCTGTTGAGGCTGGGTTATTAAATGTGTTCAAGACTGAGATAGAGATTTTTAATCAGAAACGAAATTCATGGCTATGGGGAAGATGCAGGCAAATGGAGTCGAGGATTATCAGATCAGCCATGGTCTCACTGAATGGCAGAGCAGACTTGATGGGCTGAATGGCCTACTTCTACTCCTGTGTTTTATGGTCTACTTTTTTTGGTCTACTCTTTTTTACAATTAATTTACTGAACTTCTATCACTCTTCATCACCCCTAAAACCTCTGGTATTTCCACTTTCTATCCAGTCATGTCTTCTTGCTCAGTCCTCACTTTCTTCCCCACACTCCACATTGTCGAGTACAGAAGGAGGCCATTTAGCCCAAGGTAGTCAAACAGGAGGCTGGAAGAACACAGCAGACCAGGCAGCATCTGGAGGAAAGGAGCAGTCAACGTTCTTCAGGGCTGGAAGAAGGATAATACCAGAAACATTGCTCCTTTCCTCCAGATGCTGCCTGGCCTGTTGTGTTCTTCCAGCCTCCTGTTTGGCTACTTTGGATTCCAACATCTGCAGATTTTTCTGTCTCTAGCCCCATTTAGCCCATAGCAGGCTGGCTCTTCGAATAAAAGTACAGAATTAAACCCAATCCCATGTCATTCCCAACAATGTTTAGTTTCATTGTCAATGTTTTTTTAAATTCTCTCACCTTGAAGCTATCTATGAATCTGTTCCCTGCTCCCTTTCAAGCGATGCCCCAATCTGAACAACTCAAAAACTAATTCTCCGAATTTTCCCACTGAATTTCTTTCAACAATTACCGTAAAGCTGCATCTTTCAGTTACCAACCTTTGAGGTAGCGGAAACAATTTCTCCCAACGTACTCTGTCAAAACCCCTTAGAACTATGTACATCTCTGTTGATTGTAAAATTGCTTTAAACTTCGCAGTTTAACGATCTCAGGCAGTTTATTTTTACACAATAATCGCAGTGTCTCCATGACTATTAATATTGATACAGTAGCAGCTTTTGATTCCAGAGTTAATTTTGACTAAATTAAAATTCATTTCTTTCTGTTGAGTTTTGCTATCACGATTATTTAGCTCTAAATTCAGCTATTACTATTAACTTAATGATAACGTTCCTGTACTCTTATAAATAGCACCTAACTCTTTAAGACATTGATTATGCTAATCCATAGTTTCATACGCTGTACTCATTTCTCCAATAACTGCAGCCTGGTCTATGGCTACGAGCAGATGACTGAATTTCCACTTAGTCTTCTCACGAGTGAATTCCTGGCATATCCGGAACTTTGGCAGAGTTTTTGCACTTCTTTCATCTCGGGAAAGTTGAACCCAATTGCAGTAGTTGAGATCAACGAACACAATACCGACCAACCACTGACCCTGAAGCTGAGTACCTCACGGGCGAAATCCCCTTTTCACTTTTGGGAAACCAAAACAAGTTCTAATTATCAAATTCATTGTTGGTATAACCAGGCTACATTGACAAAGGCAGAGGGACTAGTCAAAGTGTTACTTTCTTCATGATTTCCGAGACATATTCGACTCAATTTACAGCTTTACACTCTTTTAAGATGAATCAGTTGCATAAGTTACACATACAGCTAAATTTCTTCAAGTTTTTCTTTAGAGGCATCCTCTTACTCCTACTTTCTTGGATTTAATATTAAATATTATAACATACGTACGACCATTTCAAATACAGCGTAGCGTTTAAGTTATTTATTTTGTTTGCAAAGTTGGATAAAATTCTTCTCACCTTTAGTGTTTGCAAATATGACGACCGAAAAAACATGTATAAATATCAAGCCATTCATACTGAAGCAGGAACGGAAAACAAGCGATTGAAGAGGAGAGAAAATTGAGGAGGAGAGAGAATGTCCTTTTGTTTTATACCCTTCTTGGGTTATGCTAATGAAGGGGCAACAGCCGAGGATAACCCTACATCAACAGATTAAATTTCACTGTTTTCCATTTAAGAACTGATTTGTTGAGACCTGACTTTTTTTTGGCTTTGAATAATGCAACAATGTCCCTGGATATATAATGAGAAAGATTTCCAGTAACTTTTAGTACTCGAAAAGTATCTTAATTGACCCCATCTATTCGTCAAATGCTGTGTTAAAAGCAACTCTTACAAAAGTTATGCTGTCTTCAGTAGTCACCGCGTTAAAAAATATAGCCAAATTGAATTGCTGTATTTTCCCAAGTAAACGAGGATTTTACGTTTGTTTCCATTGAAACACCACATCACTTGCAAAAATCATAACCAACACATCCTTGTTTATTAAATGTACTTTTGTGAGAACTTTCATTTTGCATTTGGGAAATAGAAACTCCCTTTTTCTGTACGATGACCAGGCGGCAAAGATTAGCAATAAAATAGAGTATACTGTGGGCATCGGGTGGGAACTATTGAATTGTAATCTAATCAGTTCTACTCTGTTCTATCTGTTTAGTTAATAGCTTTTATTTTCAGAATGAGTGCATCAATTCTGAATGATAATATCGTGGGATTTTTTTGTTTTGCTTAAAGACAGGCACTTGCTGCACGACCGTCGTGGTTGTTTCTGCTCTTCGCTATCACCCTCTGCTGGCACTTGGCTCGAAGCGCATCGAGAGCTCGCCGCCGAAACAGAGCGCTTTCCCGGTTGAGGGACCGCTTTCTCGCTGGGTTTTGAGGTCTTGCAAACGCGTCGGCGGCGTCTTTGTTCGAGTACCGTGTGGGCAGCGGGTTGGACTGAAGAACCGGGTCAAGCCGCCCAGGCTGGCGTGCGAGAGCGATAGAAAAAGATGCGACTAGACGACCCAGATGGGACTCGAACCCACAATCCCCAGCTCCGGAGGCTGATGCCTTATCCATTAGGCCACTGGGTCATCACAATGAAGAGCAACAGACAGTACGACATGTATATGTGGCATTCTTAATATAGACAAATATTTACGTTTAAAATTAGGTTTGATAGTTATGTGGACGACAGAGAATATTTACACAGCAGTGCAGATGGTCAGAGCATATATTCTACTGTTTACAAGACTCGCAAACAGTTAACGTATAGACACAGTGTAGGTAAACAGCCAATCATTTGTACGGGAGAGTAAGTGCAACTTGCAGAGTTTACAAGACAGAAGGTACAGAAAATAGGTGGGAAGAATCGTATGATGGTTGGGATTAGAATAGTTAGGTGGTTGTTTTTGACTGTCATAAACACAGTAGGCCGAACAACCCTTTTACTGTGCTGTTGATCTTTATGACTATGATGAAGAAGGCCATTTAGACCATTGTGTCCATGCTATCTGCACTTACCAGTCCCACTTCACCACCTTTAACTGGGAGCCTCGCAATTTCTTCCCTGCGCAGTTTTTGAATTACTCAATGTGTGTCCACAACTCACCCAGGCAGTCATTCCAGATCGTAATCATTGGCAGTGTGAAAATATTTTTCCTCGTGTCATGTTCTTTTGCCAACCATCTTAAATTGGCGTCATAGAGTTGGAGCTTTTAGAACACGGAAAGAGCCCATTCTGCCTATCTTGTGTCTGTGCCAGTCATCAAACATTCATCTATTCTAAGACAACAAGGTGCAGGGCTGGATGAACACAGCAGGCCAAGCAGCATCATAGGAGCAGAGAGGCTGACGTTTCGGGCCTCGACCCTTCATCTATTCTAATCCCATTTTCCAGCAATTGGCCTGTAGTCTTGTTGCAATGGCAAATGCTCAACTAAATAGTTCTTAAATGTCTTGAGGATTCCTTCCCAACTCTTCCACCCTTTTAGGCAGTGAGTTCCAGATGTCCACAATCCTCTGGATGAAAAAAATGGGACTCAAGACAGCCTCCATACTTCCTGCTCGTTACATTAAAACTATTCCCCATTTATTGACCCCTCTACTAAATAAAAAAGGTTCTTCCTATCCACCTGTCTGTGCTCCACAGAACCTTGTACACTGTGATAACTTGTACAAGGTCCATGGGGAATCACTAATCAATCTCCCTGTGGACCTTCTTGAATATGAGTTCCCTTCGTAACAGGAAATGGCTTGCCTTGTTGGAAATCAATACCTGAGCCCTTTATAAAGGAGACTCAACAGGTTAAAAGAAAAAAATGGAAAAGCAAAAAGTCATGATGATTTTGGTGATAGGAAAGTTCTCAGTTGAGAGTAAAAGCACTTTGGAGTAAAAAATGAAAAGATAAAGCAGACCTGGTTAGTTATTTGAAAATTCTTTTGATCATTGTCAACTTTATATAGCCATATGTATTACAGCACAGTAAGAGGCTTTTCGACCCTTCATGTTCATGTTGGTAATCAAGCATCTATCCACTCTAATCCTGTAGCCTTGTATGCTATGGCTTTTCAAGTATTCAGCTAAGTACTGCTTAAAAGTTGTGATCTAGATATACACCACGTCGAGGCAAATTTTTTCTTCCATAAATTCCCTCTACACCTCTTACTCCTTACCTTAAAAGGATGCCCCCTTGTTACCGACTCCTCTGCTAACAGGAAAGCTTATATCAATACCACTCAAATTTTGTAGCCCTCAATCAGGTCCCCCTTCAGCCTTATCTGCTCAAAGGAGAGCAACCCCAGCCCAACCATTGTATTTCAAAAAAAAAGATTTTTAACTTATTACAATTAAGCGATATTTACAATGACAGCAAAGTTACTTTTTCAAATAAATTGCAAGTTATTTTTCTTCACTGTGTTTTGCTGTTATCTGGAAATGAAACAATGTTTTATGAATTATACTGCTCTAGTATTTTGTTGAAGCATAGAAATTTACAGGACTGAAAAATATGATTCTGCCATCCCAAGAATTCAATAACCAAGAGTTCAAATACAGTTAGTTGGCCTGTATCCCTCAATTCACTTTATTGCCAAATGAGTATACTGGACAGGCATAAAACTACCATGCTATCCATTCTATGTATTTGTTATTCACCCACTGAACATTGAATCTCACCATTCACTTACCTGCTCCTAAGATCCATTCCAGGCCTCGTTATCACACTTGAGGCCATAGTAAGCTTTTTTTATGTGTTGTGCTTATCAAAGCTTTTTTTAAAGGTTTTTGAATATTTGAAGATTAATTTGTTAGTCTCTGGTTAGATTAATTAGTCTCTGGTAAATTGGGCATCTGATGTCAGGTAACAAATGGGCACCTCTTTGCATCTGTTTTAGTACCAGGATGCCCTTCCTGGAATTTTACAGTTAAAAATGCACATGGTGCTCCCCAGAACCAATGAACTCCAGTTATCCTGTTATCATGTCCTGTAATTTATTCTATCCATGTGATAAATAAATGAATATCCTCTTAATCTTATTTAGATGCCATGTTAAATTGACTGGCTCCACAATAAGTGTCCAATATTCACAAACCCTGTAGATTGGCATGTATTTTACAGTTCCAGTGTTATTTATTGTTTCCCAGTCTCATTATTGCTCCACAGAGCCATTAATGTTTGCAGCATTTCAAGCAGAAAATGTTGGAAATATTCAGCAGGTCTGTCAGCATTTGAGGAGAGAGAAACAGAATTAATGTTTCAGATCAGTGATCTTTCAGTAGAACTGGAAAAAAATTGTTTTAACAGGTTTTGAGGAAGCACAGATGCGGGAAAAGTGGGGAGGAAAGAGCAAAAGGGAAGGTCTTTGATATGGTCATGGTCAGAACTAAATGACAACATGGCAGTGGTGTAAGGCAAATGATGGTAGTGAGGCAAGGAAACAGGACATGGGACCAGAGAAGGTGGAAATCAGAATAGCATAATCAGCACCCATAGCTGCTGTCTGAAAAACATGGCGTCAGCAGTTATCTGAAATTTATTGAATTCCGTGTAGAGTGCAAAAGGGCTGTAAAGTACCAAATTGAAATATCCGGTCTTGTTCTTTAAACCAATGTTGAACTTCAGCAGAATATTACAGTTGCAACATTTAAAAGACATTTTGACAGATACATGAATAGGAAAGGTTTAGAGGGATATGGGCCAAATCCAGACAAATGGGACAACTTTATTTTAGGAAACTTGGTCAGCATGGACAAGTTGGACAGTAAGGGTCTGTTTCCCTACTGTATCACTCTATGATCTATGTTTGCAGATGCAGTTGATTTTGCTATTGTGTTTTAAAATATAAATTACTTTAGTTTTGTTAAATGTTTTCTTCTTCAGCAAGTTTTAAACCATTTTTGAAAAATAAATTATTTTCTTTAATTACCCGATAATGAAGATGAATTGTTAACAAGGTTTTGTGATTAAGCTTTGTTGTTTCAAAATTATTTTATTTGTATCTTTCTATTTTATTTTACAGAAATTTTGTTCAGTTTCTGTTAATTAAACTTGAAAGGCTTTTCAATGTTTCAAAATTTTCCCTGGAGTATTGGAGGCTGAGGGGTGACCTTATAGAGGTTTATAAAATCATGAGGGGCATGGATAGGGTGAATAGCTAAGGTCTTTTCCCCAGGTAAAAGAGTCCAAAACTAGAGGACAAAGATTTAAAAGGGACCAAAGGGGCAACTTTTTTACGCAGAGGGTGGTGTGTGTGTGGAACAAGCTGCCAGAAGAAATGGTGGAGGCTGTAACAATAATAACATTTACAAGGCATCTGGATGGATATATGAATAGGAAGAATTTAGAGGGATATGGGCCAAATGCTGGCAAATGGGACTATATTAATTTGGATATCTGGTCAGCATGGATGAGTTGGGCCAAAGAGTCCGTGCTGTACAGCTCTATGACTCTGGGACTCTATTATCCTATTAATGCCGAAAAAATAATTTTCAAGTTTTTAGAGATTGTTGAAATACTTTGAACTGAAGAAATATATTTTTATTTTCTCCAAAGATGGAGGAAAGGACAGTTAATTCATACCACTTTTGCCTTATTTTTAGTGGGCTTTGCATATTTTTTAACAATATGGGCAATTTACCCAGTTTTGTATTCTTTTCCAGGATATTCACACTGTTTCAAAGTACGAGAGTAGCATTGCACTGTTTTTGTATCTTTAAGAATATTTTCAGTTGCACAGCAAATAGTGTGTGGTGTGCTGTTAAACAGCGATGAGGTTGAGAGAATGGAGGTGTACATGTGAGGAATGTCAGCTTTACTGGCTATGTGCCATGGGCAGTGTGGCTTTGCAGCTGCTGTATCATGACATTGCCAAGAAGGGGCAATACCCGATTGCCAATGTTAGTTCAGGACCACTGTGGCCTTTCAAAGATGGCACAGACACAAGTGATACTGGTCTTTCAGTGGATATCCACTTAGTGGTGAGTTGTTCTGGGAACAGTGCATGGTAAGATGGGGCCAGAATTGGAGATGAGAGAATCTATAGGGGTGTGATAGGTAATTATTTTGGCACATTTGGTAAGATTTGATGAAAGAGATAGGAAAGTGAAAAACATTCCAAAATCTCGACACAACTTGGAATTAGCCAAAAAGAATGAGTTTCAGCACAAATTACTTTACATTGCATTACAACTAGTTGAAATGATCTTATTACAAATATTAGATATAAAGATTCAATACCCTTGCAGTCAACACCAATCACCCAGATATGTAAACTCCAGTGAAGGGTTACTGTATTTACAACTAAAATTTCTTTCTTCCATTGGTGCAGTGTACTTGGTTTCTTTCCAGCAAATCTTTGCATTCACTTGATCTTATGTTCTTTAGTTAAAGTCCATCCATGAGTCTCTTAAACAAGCCGCTAAAACAACTAATTTATTTCTTACCAGGGTTTCTTTAAACTCCTCATTCATAGACGTTTGCTTTGGAGCTATCTCTTACTGACACTGAACTTGTCAGGATTTCTTTTATTCTGCTCTGACTATTCTAGAGTTAAACTGCACTGCTGATCTTATAGGTGTTTTCACTATAAATGTCCTACTTCTATCTAAAAGAAACATGTGCTCTCACCTCCCTCCTTTAGAAAGAGAAAGCTATTTCATAGAATCCCTACAGTGTGGAAGCAGGCCATTTGGCTCTTTGAGTCCACCATCCAAAGAACATCCTACTCACACCCATTCCCCTACCTATTCCTGTAACTAACCTACACATGTCTGATCACTATGGGCAATTTAGCATGGCCAATCCATCTAACTTGCACATCTTTGGACTGTGGGAGAAAACTGGAGCCGGCAGAAAATCGCACAGACATAGGCAGAACGTGAAAACTCCACACAGACAGTCACTCAAGGTTTGGATTGAACCTGGGCCCCTGGCACTGTGAGGCAGCAGTGCTAACCACTGAGTCACCATGCCACCCTATTTCCATCTCTCTATCCCAAAAGCATGAGAAACTATGTAGGCAACATCCCTATTTTTTTTCTCTCTTCTACCCTTGTACTGAACTATTCACCTCAAGGCTTTTTTTCTTAAAAGGCCTCATTTAAATCACATGAACAAATTTCCAGACAGTCCGATGCCACTCTCACAACTTAAAAAATTAAACTATGTCCTTCCCTTCTTAACCTATA